TAAAATATTAATTACGCACAAGATATATAAACGGATACTTCTTCAGTGCGAGAAAAAAGTCTATGGATCTTCGCAAGGCAATGGAAAGTGTTGTTGTTCCCATGTTCTGTAATACTTCACTAGCAGCATCCGAAGATCAGCTTAATAAATTGAATAAATTGTTGAGTCTTTGGGAATCGAAGAATAATTATTTTGACGAAGGCATCATAGATAAGTTGAAACAACCGAATGCATCCTGGTCAGATTATCAAGCTAATTTGGTGGCGCAACATGCAACTGCAATCACTCCTATTACAACGTCGACGAAACAGACATTTGAAAACTATCAAGCACAGCATCAAGCATTCGTGAGTCATGCACTGAGACAAATCCAAAATATCGAACAACAAAAGATTGCGATAGATCAACAACTAAAAGCTCCACCACCTCCGCCACCACCACCTCAAATGGTAATAATATTTTATTCTTCTTAATCAAATGTATTTTTTGTGTACAAAAAATTACTTACGAACGCTTTTATGTGTAGAGTCAACAAAATATGTCAATACCACCTAGTCATTCTGGTCCTCCTAGTACAATGGGTACAGATGTAAATTTCAGTCAGCCACCACCAGGATGGGGTGTTCCACCCTCTAACGAACCACCACCATTTAGTAATGTTCCATTACCAGATTTCTCAAAACCACCGCCGGGTTTCGGACCGCCACCGGTTATACATGAACCTTCTGTGGAAGATTTGATGCCTAGTATGCCTTATTTTGAGCTTCCAGCTGGTTTAATGGTGCCACTAATAAAACTGGAAGATGGCGAATATAAGCCATTGGATCCAGATGCGATAAGACTTCCACCGCCGGCTCCTCCGAGTGATCGTTTAGTTGCTGCTGTAGAAGCGTTTTATGCACCACCAAATCATGATTCTCCTAGAGATAGGTAAACATAAAAATTATTATAATCATAAAAAATTAACTGTAACTAAAATAAAAATGTAAAGATATATTTATTATGCAAAAATATATAAAATATAATATTTCTTATAAATATTTGTTCTACGAACGAAATTAACAATTATATTTACAGTGACGGATGGGAAAAATTAGGGTTATATGAATACTACAAAGCGAAAAATGCCGCCCGCAAACGTAAAGAAGAGGATATAGTTGCTGGCATTAGACAGAGATCCAAATCTCCGTCGCCGATTCTACGGCCGAGATCCAAGAGCCCTAGTCCGCCAAAAAAACGCTATCGGAGTAAGTCGCGCAGCAGATCGCGTTCGCGATCGCGAGGCAGAAGTAGATCGAGATCGCCTGCGGCCAATCACAGACGCAACAGTCGCAATAGCAACCACATTAGCAGAAGCCGGAGGAGAAGAAATAGTAATAAGGATCGCAGTCCTGATAGGAGACTGGATAGACAGGATAGAAGTCCAACTCCTCCTAGTTTTCTGTAAGTGCCATTTCTATAATATAAATTCCTATATTTTGTCTTTCTCCTTAAGTAACAATAAAAAATTGAAATTATTCTTCTGTCCCTTTAAACTGTTTTCTTTATGTATCTTTATTTTCTATTTTTCGGTTGTAATTGTACTATTATATTATAGAACATTTTATATCACATTGCAGTGGCTCTACTTATAGTAAGGCCCCACAAGAGATTAGTCTTGACGAAAGCAATAAGGGACATCAATTGCTTAAGAAGATGGGTTGGGGTGGTGCTGGTCTTGGCGCGAACGAGCAGGGCATTGAAGCGCCTATTTCAGGCGGTGAGATTCGCGATAAGAACGATCAATATAAAGGAGTCGGTATTAATCTGAATGATCCATACGAAACTTTCCGAAAAAATAAAGGTCAAGCATTCATTACTAGAATGAAAGCTAGAGCTGAGGAACGAGCTGAAGAGAGGGGGGAACGCGACTGAATTAATTGAACGAAAATTCTAACTGTTCGCGATAATTTGTGAATGAGACGAATATCTAATACGAGACAGTAAAAAAAAATCTCCATATTGAAAACCTATTCACGATTCCAAAAAAATTCTACCGCCTATAAAGGCTGATTTCAAAGATCGACATATTATTTTGACTATCAAACAGTTGGCTTATTCTGAATTTCCATTGCACGTGTCATCAATTTTCAAAATAATCGCAGGCGGATGCTGTTTGTTTTATGTTAAAACTATAGTGATTATTTTTATCAAGAGCTATCTTAACAATCTCACAATCTTACATTTATGCGACGATCAGTGAGAATTACACAGAGTTAAATTGTACATTTTTAATATAAATAAAATATAAGTAAACGCGATTAAAGAATTTGTTTCAAATTTAATGTGTGATCTAAAAAATAATGAAACAAATATTAAATCTTGTTTACATGAAAGTTTGACTGAAAGATTAGCTGGATTTGTAATTGCATCTCGCATTAGAGAGATTATTTAAAGTCAGGATCTTTCAGCAGAAATATGCGATCCTATTTAACATATTAGTTATATTACATGTAATAAATTCACGTATAATTTTACACTCCATTTTTTTCATTCATCGCAGAATAATATACACTTCGCAGAATGTACAAAAGTACAATTCGTTTTATGCCGTGAAATAGAACGGGCGTAAGAAAACGTGTGAGAGACAAGAATACTTGTATTTAGTATGTTAACAAATGATTATATTGGATACACTGAATGATAGCTCAAGAATAAAAACTGTACATTTATTACGAAAACGAATGCGGATATTTGTCATTGTTATTGTTTTCTTTATTTCCTCTTCTTGATGTTAAATATATTCTTACTCAAAAGAGAGCATTTAAAATCGGTTGTGCCATATCAAAATTTCATTAAAATATATTCCTTTCGCTATCATTTACTTTTACAGTAACTTTACCTAAATATATAAAATATATAAATATATAAGTGTGCATGATAATATAATTTTATATTTAAAATTATTATTTTATTCTTAACCTCTTCTTGCTTTATAAATAATCCCTAATTTATTCCAGATAATAGAATTTTTTTTATGTATTATGTATGTATGTTTAATACAAAAATATCTTATATACGTTATGTATGTATCTTCAATACAAAAATATCTTATATACGTATTTATTTTTTATTTTTCAAAGATATTATATTATGTAAAAAGATAGAATTCTATCCTATAAATTCTGATATAAATTATAGACCCATCCAAATTCAGCTTATGTGCTCTTTTATGTTCTTATAATTTTAACACTCGTTTTTTCATCCCTTTTTTGTGCTTTGTTTAAATCAGATCTTTTAATATTAAAAATAGCTCGTATTTCCTTATGCTTCTGAAACCATCAGGATTATCAATCTTTATATGTGAAGATTCTCTGCTCTTACGGGGAAAAATAAGAGAATAAAGCGAGACAAAATTGTTCTAATTGAAAGGAGAATCACGCGGTATAATAGAGCGTTCTTCGACCGCTTCGTTGGCTCGTTACAGGCGTTTCCTTATCGCGCGTCACGTGCGTGCACGAGTTTAAAGAATGGAGAGAAAAAAAGGGAGGAGCCTCATTTAACTGGCTACGACTTGGCAAGTCGTGACTGAGTACAAGTTAATCGCGAGTCGCCTTCTTGAACTCCCCCAGCGGCAGCTGATATCGAAACCGACTAAATCCAACGGCGAACCGGTTTTCTAGTGACGATAGTGGCGGCCCGGTCGTCACGTCGAGACGTAAACAAAGCCGGATGATCGGCCGAGCCATTCCGCGTCGCTGTCACAACACCCACGGATTCTTTTCGCCGCCGTTATCCGAGATATGCGCGATTTTTTTTGAGAAAATTGCGCAGAATCTTAACCCGCTGGCCTGCGGTCTTGTAGTCTCGCAATTATCGCGCGAGGCGAAAATAGATCTTTGTACCGAGAGTGATATTACGTATTTTCGCATGGATAAATGTTAGGACTTAAAAAAATATCGGTTTATCGCAAATATTTGCGCGTATATAATATTTGTATATATGGAGTGTATCTCTTTCGAAAAAGCTACAGATATGATAGCTACAGAAACGTAACTCATATAACATGAGTAAAAAAAAAGGGGAAAAATGTTTATGTGAACATAAAATGTTTTTTTCTTTTTTTTTTATTCGTAGAAAATATGTTATTTGATTGTTGAATCTGGGACAATATTTTATAGCGAAGGAATATAATTTTACATATCAATTCGAAAACCATTTTCTTGCAAAGCGAGTTTTATTACAAAAATCATTTTATCCGCTGTAATTTTTCAATCTGACATCTGAAATGTCTCTTGTCTAATATTAGGAATTAAAATTACTTGAGACTGAAAGTAGATTTTATCTGTTTATAGATTTCACAACTTTAATGCACTAACCGGAATACAAGAGCATACATTCTATCTCTTTGCAGATAATTCGTTCAGTTAAAGAGAGTGGGTTTTAAAACACGGTATCATATTTCACAACTTAATCTTCAGAGTTTTTTTTTCTCATTATCGATATACTGAAAACGTAGTAAAAAAAAAGTAAGGAAGCAATTATATTAATACAAGCGTGTATCTAATGATCATCCATAAGTAACGTACGGAAAAAAAATATAATGTTACAGCATCAAGTCTAACTGAAAGTAATTTTGATAAAATTTTATAATATTAATAAAACAAATACGTACGTATTTATTATTATTGAGATTACAATACTTTTAAAATTTGAGTCGTGTTAATTATTTCTTTTCGCGAGTAAAATATTTAGATCTTGAGACACAATGATACGGGGGCATAATCGCATTGACCGCACGTGCACGATCGGGATTTTAACGATACAAGTGTCAACAGTTCCAAGAGATTTAGCGGACTCGCGCGAAAAAGCTTCCGTTCCGCGAAATCGATCGCACGTGTCGCCCGGTGGCTGGACGACGATCAACATCTCGCGCATACGTGTGTCAACGCACTCGTTGTACGTGCGTGAACGTGCCCGGCTGATTCCCAGCGTGATTGATACAATTGACCGATCCGCGAAGAAAAGAAGACGCGCGACCGCGAGTTGGCGGTCACGTTCGGTCGTCGGGTCGCGCGTGACCCGACCGCGGGGAATTCCGAGGGACGGGGGGGGGAGACGTTCCCCCGAGGCGGAGGGCGAAGCGGGACCGGCGAAACGTGAGCGATCTATATCGGGCACGTTTCCGTCGTTACGAGCGATACGAGCGAGCTATCGGCCGTGTTATCGGACCGAGGCACACGGACGGTGGGAGAAGGGGAAGAGGGAGGAAGGGTCCTTCATGAGAAACGCGGTGCGGTGCGTGCAATTACGTGCGTGCGCGCCCGCACGATTGTTGCGGCACGTTTATCGTGGCACCGAGGGGAGAGGCAAACGTGACGCCGGGCACGAAAAGAAATACCGGAGTTGCCGATAAGAAGCCGATTACGTCGACGGTTTGGCGGACGCGCCGCCAATGGACGGTTGTTCCTGGAACGTCGCGGCTCCGTGGCCTCGTGGCCGTTTAAGCTGTCGTTCATGGAAGCGCGGGATAAAAAATCGCAGCGTCGTCAGAAAAAAAAGTCCTACCGAGAAACACTACCTGAGAAAGAGAGAGAGAGAGAGAGAGGAGGGGAGGGAAGAAGAA